TGGTATCAGGAGGGGGTTAGGGGGTCTATGGGGTTGAATTGGAGCTGACTGCAGCACACTGGATTGTTCCCACAGTGCTCCCAGACAGACGCCTTCGTCACCATCGTCGCCGCGCGTCAACCTCTAATAGAATTTTCACGCTTCGGTTTTAAATTGAGGTGCTGATTCTTACAGCTGATACCTTTTACATTCATATACATATCGTATAGTTGTATGTAAATCCACGCTGTTTGTGGTGCCACGACGTATTTGTGTTTATGTAAATAGATCGATTCATGATCCAAGAACTAGATCTCAAAAGAGTTGTATTTATGCTGTGCCAGGTGCCTTGCAGATCTTGTTTATCTTACATGTCTAACAGGTTCATTTTGCTTTCGTATTTGGGCCTACTCGTGGATTTCCTGTAAATAAATCAATTTGGGCTTTACCAAAACATGTAAAATATTTATAAATAAATATTGGAATCACCGATTTAGGAATTGCTATACTTGGAAAACCATTTTGAAATATATTAGATATGCCCCACGTTGGGCGCCATAAATTATGTCACATTTAATTTAATTTACTTTTGTTAGATTTTTGGCTACATAAACAGAATTCTTCGCAAATATCAGGTATCTCTTGGTCTATAACATTTCATATGTTTTTACCCATTTCCCTTTTAGGTTTTACTTTTTAGAAGTTTCAGCAATTGCAAAACTTTTCCCCACAAAGCGAGCATATTTATACGAAAGAGTTTTAGAGAGTTTTTTAGCTTTTCCAGTTGAAAGTTTTTATTATTAATTGCAACAAAAATAGCGACCGCAATGGGCTGCCAAAAAGTCAAAAAAGTTGAAATAGTTGCAGATGCGATGCCTTGCTAGATATCCAGGCCACACAATCCATTGGATCTGTTTTTGTTTGGCAGGCAGAAAGGCTTGCAGTCGGGCAGGACTTTTGCCAACCAGCTGTTGGTACATACTTGTGTGTGTTTTGCTCGAGGAAAACTAATAAAACAAATCGCATGTTTAGCCAAGAGTAGTAGATATCTGGTCATTGAACCTGGCATCCTGGCAACCCTCGATAGCTGACCAAAATCATTGCCTGAAGCGGGGTGAAGCGCCCCCTGAACCCGATTGGAATTTTAAGTGCAGTGCAAATCGAGTTCGAGTCCGAGAAAAACGCAGTCAGTCAGCCGAAAGTACACATCTTATTCCAGGGGTTGGGGAAAGGGGGTTGGTAATTTAGCGGAGGAAGTGGGCGTCACTCGGACATGGCCGTGCAATTTGTATCCTTATCAGGACTAGCCGCATTGATTGGAACGCTGTTCGCCGGAGCTTCCGACAGGCACTACGCTTTATGGACTCAACCCTCGGTTTTGTCTGGCACTTGACCAGAGACAAATAAACAATGATGACAGGGATAAGGCACAAACAAAGGAGCTGCCCTCAGGGCGCTCATGTACAAGTTATGGACGTGAGAAATTCTCAAATAATTGGAAACGAGCATTTTCATTTGTAGCTGGATGAAGTGTAATCCTAAAAGTAATCAACGGGGAATAGAAGATTAAATAAATTGCATGGCAAGCACTGTAATAATTAACTCAGCGAGTCTTTGAACTTCACAAAAATACCCATTACTCCCAAAGTTATCATTAACTCTTAGCATAAATGGGAAATAAAAAATTAAATTATTAAATAATAATAATAATTAAACTAATTAGAAACCTATAATTTCCCCGATGCGGAACGGTTTAACACGAAGTTTAATCAAAGCAATATTTCAAGACCATTAAGGGGCTATAAATTGCGGTATAAATGCTATCATAATAAAAGCCAAGTTATAATTACCTTCAAGAAGAACATTTTCAACTTTGAGAAAGAAAGAAAACCATAAAAATATAACCATTAATATTTTATGAATTATGTAATTATGGGTCATCAATCGTAGTCTGATTGCTTCTGCAAATCTGTAAACTTGATAAAATGTCTGGCCATAAAAATTATTAGATAAGTTGCCCTTTAAAAGTTAATTTTCCTATGATAGATATCCAGCCGATTAATATAAAATAAACGATTTTATTGCGTTTTAAACGGATAAAAATTCCCAGGCATAATGGGCGTTTCCAATTTAGGGGCCGTCAAAGAGAAACATAAACGACCTCGACACGGACAACATTTTAAAATATATATTGTAGATATTCATAGTTCCAATTAGGTTCATCCGCAACTAAAAAACACACCTTTTGATTATGAAATAAATAAAGTTTTACCTCTTTAAATCCCCCGATTTGCATGATCTTGGAGAAATGGTTAACATTTTTATTTCCCATTTGCGAAATTAAATGGCGCCTTTTAAAGTCAAATGAAGGGTCCGCCAAACAAAAAAAAAGGCAAAATGACTTTGAGGCAGGGGTAAAAAACACAAAGAGCCCAAAAACGTTTTGACTTGTGCCTAAGAGCGGTAAGCTGCGGTCTTGACTTGTAGCTGCAACTTGATGTTGGCTGGTGGAAAGGTCAAGGATTATTATACTTCATCATAACTCTATTAAGCTCGAAGTCCGCAGCGGTTGGCAATCTCCGGCTTACGGGCTGCCTGGCTGCCTGACTGCGCATTTGTTTGTATATTGTTATTATCTTTTTATGCGGCACACACGAGAGATCTACAACGGCAGCAACTGTTGCAGCACAGCAGCAACATCAGTGGTACAGCAGCAGCAGCAGCAGCAGCCTCCCCACATGAGGCCTCCTGCCAACTCTTTGCTCGATTCATAAACTCCACTCCAACTCTCGGTGATAGTTTTATCTTTGAGCATTACTTTTGTGGGAGTTTTGTTGTTTAGTTTTCTATTACATGAAATTAAGTAAAAGTCCCAAAACGAAAGCCGCCACCCGACCAAAAAAAAAATATAATAATAAAAGACATGAAACGACATCAAGAGCAGCCAAAAAGCCAAAAAGCGAAACTTCAAATTCAGCCCGCGGTGAAAATGAAAATGAGTTTCATACGCGCGACGCGACTTACAGGTCGGCGTGAGCATTTGATTTGATTATTAAAAGTTTTGCATTACTTCCGAGAAACGAAACGAGAAACGATAAAGGCAGACACCTCGAAGCGCAGGTTCCAAACCAGATCCCTTTGATCGATGGAAAGCCTCTATAAGTATAAGTAGGCTGTTGATGACTGTCTCTGGCATTTTGTCTCGTGTCTTGCAATGATGCAGCACTATAATTATGCTGTTGGTTGGGGGATGAGCTGCACTAGGGGAAAAGGTCTTGTATTTATAGAGATATTACCTAGAGTAATTGAGTTCTAGAATAATGAAATTTCATTGAAATTAATAGTAATATTTTTACAATATTTTTAGAGTTATTTGATTAGCAGATATTGATTAGAGATAGATTCTTAAGAATCCTAAAATACTCAATTTTTTCTATCTCAACTAATATTTATTAAACACAATTGGAATTTATAGAAAATTGTTTTCAATTACCCTTAAATACCTTGAAACCTTTCTTTCGCCTCCCGATTTCTTCGAGTGCGCGATGAGCGCCATCTGGCGGCGCGTGACAGCCGGAGCCAAAGCAAAAGCCTGACGGGCAGGCAATGACGAGTTAATTTCTTCGCCTTCTCATGCATTAATTGAGCGGCGGCCCCGGGCGTAAGGTTCGAATGGAATGGGCATGGATGGGCATCTCTTAGCCATCGAGATGGAGGTGGAGATGCAGATGGATGAGGGAGATGGAGATGGATCCAACTTATATAAGCGGCCTGGCATACCAGTGCCAGGCGACATTAAAGCCCGAAGAGGAGTGACCACAAGAAATGGCAATACCTGGGGATACCCAGATGCCCACCCCGGGATTCCCTCGATGGCCCATCGACCGAAAAGGTCAAATCGCTCAAACTGGATGATGTTCATTAGCGACACAGAAAGCCACAAAGCGTGAAACTCCGGCGGCTACATCGATCTCTTGGCCTTTCTTTCCCAATCCGCAGTGCTCAGTCCAAAATCCTCCCCCATCCTCGATCCCTTGGCTCTCATCCATTGTCCATGGCTTTTTGCTGTGACTCTCGACCCTTTTTGTCCGTGTTTACATCAAAAACGTGCCTCAAGTGTTCCTGTCACTGCACAAATTGGACATTTATTTGCTGCCCCAGTCACCACTTTTCCGCACTCCTCCCACTTTTCTTTTTCCTTTTCCAAGGAAATCTCTTGGCCAGAACGTGTTAAGGATTTCGTTTCGTTTTCGATTCAATTCGGCTTGGGTAGCCCAAAAATAAATTCCCAGCAATGAGACAGCGGCTTTTGGTTTTAAGTTTTTCTCTTTTGGTTTTTATTTTGGTTTTTGTGGCGCCACCCCATCCCTCGCCTTTTCATTCGGAGGCGTGGCAGCGATCCGCTTTAGCTAATTGACGGTTGCCCGCCATCAAGTTAAGGCCGCTGCAGCAGCGGCAGTTACCACTCGCAACGCCCACAGATGGATAGCTCTTTAAGCCAGACAGCAGCACACCAATTATGCCACGCGGTGCTCTGCAATTTGTCAATTAGCTGATGAGATGCAGACTCCCACTGGAAGTGGATGTAAGGACCAGTGGAAACACCCCTTTGACCTGTTTCAGTTCGGCTTCCTCAAAGGGTGGTTCACTTTAAAGGCATTTTCAGTTTTTAAATGCATTTTGGAATTTTTTATAACCTGTAAAAGGTAATTAAGAAAATATTGAAAACAGGCTGGGTCCACTTTGTAATCTATATCTAAATAATAATCAGTTTAAAAATAATTTAGTCAATACATTTTAAAATCTGAATACATGCATTAAAATTAATTTTGGTTTTTGTACAAAGATATTTATAAATAAGAAAAAATTAAAAACAGACAGGATAAATTGTATAATATGCCTACAAATATTAAGCCCCTTTTATAGGCTTTTTTTGTTGAATATCGGGCTTTTTACTTAAGCTTACTATCTTTACTAACCTTTTGCTAGTCTTTAATTAAATTATATATTATTCTTTCCAGAACTTCCTGGCTGCCAATGCGCAATGCTGGTGGAATGGACCTTTGACCGCTGCCACGAGGGCGCTGAAATACGCAGGACATGTGGCGCCTGGAATGCTGCTGGTTACGGCTGAACCCTGTGCCCTGGAGGTCCTGCGAGGAGCCTTTGCCCGAAGTGTCCTGAAACCGCCGGCCACCTATGTAATCAGCTCAGTGGGTAAGTTTCAACCTTTGGAGATCATAGATCATAGCAAACCTAGAAATTGTGTAGTTTCGGGATTGGGTTAGTCAAAATTCAAATGTTTTGAGGGGCAGAAGGTGAATGGATGATTCAGTCCAGTCGCGTTACGATCGCCAAAGGGAATTGGCCAAGCGGCGACTTCTTTTCTGGGCAGGACGTCTGCAGCTGATGCCTAACGAGGTGGCAAAAATGTCGGATGGGGAACTCAATCGGCGATGGCAGATCATTAAAAGAGAGGAAGACGCCTTTGACCGTCGAACGGCTGAGTTTAAGCGCTGGAAAGAGCTCCATAAGCTAAGATATCTTATGTACGAGGAACAGCGGAAGTACAACGAGCGCTTTGGACTCGATGGATCCTCCATCTGGCGTATCCTAGCTTTGGCCCAGCAGGAACTGGAGAACAAACTCCAGATAGATCGAATGCGAGGCAGTTGCCAGCGTTTTCCCTCGCCCATGAGTCTCATGGAGGAGACAAACAGACAGAGCGGCGGAAGGCACGAGTTGCTGGAACCCCTAAAGTCAATCCTTATAGGCTATAATTCAGATTCTGAATCAGAGGATGATCTCAAACTAAAGAAGGTCACTCGGTACTTGCCTACAAGGTGGCCAAATCGATATCATTATACAGAAAGATCTGAACAAACCCATGATTTCTGTAAAGAAGCCTTTCAGGACTGCGAATTCAATATTCAGGCGAAAAGCGAAGACTCCTTTAAAAGCGTTCGGGAACCTCCAATTCTGGGCTTCTGTCCTCTCTGCGCCGAAAGACACCTGCGATTGCCACCTCGCTTCTGACCAGGTGAAAATAAATCAAAAGGCCTACACCCTGTCCACTTTGTTTACAATATATTCATCTACACAGTGCGAAAAAAGTCTTCTGCTTGACAAAATATTTGAATTTAATATATCGATCAAAAACTAGAGCTTGTAAAATATCGATATTTTCGATACTATCAATGTTTATCAGGGAAAAAATATTAAGTATCGAACTGTCGATATTTTTTCAAACTCAACGCAACCAAATTTTCTTCTTGTGGCCCTATAAATTTATGAACTTTTTAATATTTCTCCTGTGTAATCGAAGCGACATGCACTTCATCAAACATTGATGTGTCTGGCCTGGGTTTATGGTCTCTGGTCTGCTCCTCTGTGCCTCGTTAGCTGTCAATTAAGTGGACACCTGTGCAGTTAATGCGATGCTGCCGTTGCCCGCTGCCCATTTCCCATTTTCCACCTTTTCTCCCCCTTTCCACACCCCCTTCAGGTTTTCACACTTCCCATCTCGAAGGAGGGGGGCCAAAAAGTCCATTGGCAACTCCATGAATTGATAAATGACCGGCCAGCCGGAGATCGTCGAAGTTGTGGAAACTTTACGGCCTTTGGCGAACTTTGTTTGGGAATTAATAAGCTGCGATTTGTGGCCACAACTCGTTGCAATATATTTTTTCCTTCTTGGTCAGGAGGAGAGGTGGGAGGGGCTTGGGCTCGCTGTCGGTTTATCTTTGTGAAATTCAATTGAGGAAATATCGCTGCACAAACAAAGAGCTGCACTCAAACACACAGAACTGCAGACAGAGTGCAGCATATGGTGTGGCCTGCAGAATCCGCTCCATGTTTGCTAATTAACAACTGCAATGGCGTAGAACCCATTAACTGTTAATTACCATAAACATGACAATTCCATTGGCCAACAAGGAGTCCGAACAATGCGCCACATAGGGTACACTCACAAAGAACTCTGGAAAACAAAAGAAAATGTTGTTAAATTAGAAAAAAAAAGTCAACCAAAATGTTTTTAAAGAAATATATATTTTTTTAATAAATTTAAAAATGTAGGGTATAATAACAACAAATAGTTAAAAACGTGTAACAAAAATATTAAAAAGTTCTTTTATTATTTTAAACATTTTTTAAATTAGTATTTATTAATTATTAAATTGTAATATAGGTTGATATTTGTTTATTCTAGAACAAGTATGTAACAACGTCAGAATAATGTAGGAATAAATTCAGAAATATGTTTTAATAATATCATTTATTAACTTTGGCCATAAATAATGACTTTAATTTGTGTCATATTCATCTAAAGCCACTTCATCGGTTATTTATTATATATCATGTGTTGTGACCAAACGTTGTCAGCCGTTTTTATGGCCAATGTTTTACACTTAGCTAGACTTTTAAAATGTTGTCGCTTTAAATAAAAATAATATAAAAGACTGGCAGTTTGGGGAATTGCCAATATGCATTAAATTCAAGTGAGTGCCGCCTGTTTGGTAGCCACTTAATATATTTAAACATCGAACAACTCTTTGAAGTTTAACAAACTGTAAAGTTTTGACACGAGTCAACTTAAATGCTTTACAGACTATTTGCGATTGAGTTTTCCACAGAGTTTTCTTTGGTCAGTCATTTGTCAAAGAAGTAGCTGACATTTATCTTAAAGAGGAAAAGATTTATTACTTGCCGTTGCAAGTTGTTGGCCAACAATTACAGAACGTTGATTAAATCGCCATTAACCGTTGCGAAGTGGGAAATAAAAGCAGCCATTGAAATGGCAGTAACAATAGCAATAACACTATAACAAATAACACATTGCATGCAAAACAATCAATCAACGGCAATTTCTCGCTCAATTAGACAACAAACATGCCAAATAAGTGCAAAAGAAACGAAGAAAAGCAAATTAAATTCAGTTTCGTGTTAAAGAGCCAACTTGGAGACTGGAGTGTATAGTTTTTTTTTCAACTTTTTAGTGGGTGGGAAAGCCAGGGGGGAAATCAGGGGGAAGAAAAATCAGAGGAAAATGCCGTCGCTTGCCGCTTGGCAATTTGACAGCGGAATATCGGTGGAAGCGCCAGAGAAGCCAAGCAGACAAATGGCAAATGCAAAATAGCTGGAAAGCGAGAAAATTATGCAGTTTCCCAGATGCCGGGAAAAATAAGGAGATATCGGTGAAGAGGGACGGACGGAACGGACAGATAGAGAGCTGTCGGTAACTATGATGGCGAGTAAAAAGTAAAATAAAGAGCCGCAAATCAATTTCATCACGATTTCTCGTCGCCGCATCTTGCTGAAAGTGAAATGTGGCCATGACAGTGGAGTCAAGAGTGGAGAGGAGCCGCAGTCATCGATGGCCGTCCGTCAGATAATTGTAACTTAATATTCGAGCCATTAACAAATCGCAAATCGGTAGAAATCAGCCAAGTCAACAGCAGCAGCCGAGCGATCGAGCACATTGCGAAAATCGAATGTCAGTCAAATGTTGCTGGCGGCAACCACATGCAGATGGGATGCACATTACCATGAGATCTCTGATAAAATAAAAAGTGAGGAAAATTTGTGGAATCGAATGTAAACATTAAAAACATTTTAAAAATTGTATACCATTTATTTGTATGTTTATAAGGCTACAAGAAAATACTAGAATGTATGAATACAAATGAAATAATATTAAGTTTAAATTGAATTATTTATTAAGGATATATTAGCCAACAAGAACAGGAAATATAAATTATTTAAATATTTTAAATTTACTTAAATATATTGGAACTATCATTAATTGGCATTCTTTCATATTTGAAAGAAATTTAAACATTCTTGTAATTAATATCTGTTATTATTATATTTTTACTTTATTATATATAATTACTATACTGTTCCTTTTTTATGTGATTTTTGAGGAATTTTTTACTTGCCCAAAAAATAAGTCAACATTTATTTTACTTTTATGATTTTCTAGTAATCAAAATCTAATCAATATCAAATTAGATGACGAAATACCTCCCATTGATGTTGGATTCAAGGAAAAAATCTTAACCAAAATGACATTAAAGTCTTTTTTTTGACTGTGCATTAATTTATAATTTCACCGTTAAGCTCTTGGCCAATTTCTTGAAAGGTTTGTTAACCTTTGTAGATAGGGGGAGAAATTCTCCAAAGCGTAACCAAGTTTGCCAAAAAAAAACAGATGAAGAAGAGCGGGCGATACAAGAGTCATTGTCATTGGGGAGTAGTTGTCTTTGCAAGTTCATCATCATCGTCATCATGGTCGCTTGAGCACCGCCCCCTTCGCCGCCCTTTGAAGAGCATTACCCCAGCGATTATTGTAATTTTATTGTTCTCTTTCTTCCCGGGGCCCGGTCTTTCCACCCGATTCTTCTGATTACCACTACCTCGCCGCCCAATAACCCTTCGGTTAATGAGGTCAACCCATTTGATTTTAGCTCTTGGTTACGCTCGGTGGACTTTTCCCTCATTTGCCGGGAAAGTGTTCTGCGGAAAATCGTATACAGTTCGTACCACCATTGTTTTCCGGCCTTTTTCCCTTCGAACGCACCAAAAATGGCAGGCAATTTAGCCAAATGCGACACGATTCTATGGCTGACATTATCCCATCATCTGGGACTCGCAATTGGAGGTTGCACAACGAGACTCTTGGCAGGCTCCCAGGTTCCAGGTTCAGGTCCACTAACCCCAAACTCAGTGACCTTTAACACACAGCAACACACAGCATTCAGTACAGGAAAGGAATGAGGCAAAAAGTGTCGCCAACAATTTTTTGTCTTTCCTCAATCTGGGCTTTATTTATTTATTTCATTTTGTTTGGGATTTTTTTTTTGTTTTGTGGCCAAATCGTGTTGCTCCTTATTTGCCAGGCTATAAAGCCGGTGGTGGTGGCCCAATGTCCGACTGCCGACTGGCATTTTGTTGTTGGTGTTGCAACCACGTAAATGTCAATTTGCATTTCGTGAGGCGTTGCATAAACAGCAGTCTACTCCCCTTGTTATCCCCACAGCCTTGTTTTCAATTTGTTACTGATCTGAAATATTTTTATTAACAGACGGAAACAATTAGCGTCGCCTCAACGAACGCAACAAGCGCCGGCCAAAAAGTTAAAGCCATACAGCTTAGCTCTCTTTCTACTTATTTTTTTCTATTTTGGCTTTTATTTTTTTTCGCGATCTGTGGACAGGCGTATCTGTTTCCTTTTGCCAGCGACTGCGTGGCCTTTCCTCCCCCCGCCCCCTTTGAAACACCCACCACCCCCAAGCGAAACGAGAGAAGAAAACCCAAAATGGGAAATTGAAAACGAGCAAAAAACGTTTCAGACACAAAATCGTGATTGCCTTCGTTTGGCCGCCAGACATTTTGGTTGTTGTTGCTGGTCTTGCTGCTCTACATGTTGGTGAAAAGGGGGTGGTAAAGAGGGGGCTGAGGTCAACAATGGGGTGGTCTTAAGGGGTGGTGATCCTGCCTTCTTATGTAAAATAAATCATTCCAGGAAGAGCTCTTCAAATCGGTTTGAAAAGTAAGTCAAATTTTGACATAAAATCGAACGAAATCAAGTATCTCAAGTATCGAGAGGATATTAAATACTTCTTAAGTTAAGTAGTTTAATGTTAATAATATTATTTGAGATTTATCTATTTTATATTATTTTATAGTAACAACCATCCTTAAATTGACCTATTTAACGAATTTAAAGTTCTTGCTATAATTCTCTTTTTAAACAATATTTTTTTGACCCATATGTAACTCTTTTTAGAAAAAGAAACACTCCATTCTCTATTATGCGCATTACAATTATATTTTTCACACTTTATCAAATATTTAAAATTAAATTTTTAGGTATTTTTTTACACTTTAAATAAATATCATGTATAGCTTTTTTTTTTAACAAAAACTTGCCCTGGCCAAAAAAAATTACTATTGCCTTGCTGACGACTTTCCTAATTGTAAAATCTCAATAAAATACTCTCACTGATTTACTGATTTTTAACTTGGTGGCCCCTGTCTCCCCACCGTTTTCCCAAAAAGCTCTGTCGAGCTAGAGTGATTGATTAATTGCCAAGTGAAAACGAAAGACACAGTCTCTGTGTCCCAGATGACAAACTCCTGCCTGCAGCTGGAAAACTCTTTTTCTTTCGGCTTTCGGCTGTCGGCTTCATCTGCATTTTAACGCTCGGGTTGAAAAACCGAAAAAAATCCAAAAAACCGAACCGAAGCAAAACGAGACTTGCAAATGATAATAAATATGAAAAAGACGTGAAAACGATTGCCGCGATTTTCCCACCAACGCTTTATAGATGGTGTCTCAAAGGCAACCTGCCGTCCCCCCTGCTTTTCCACCCCTTTCGATCACCCCTTTTCCCCCACCCTTTCCGCCTCCTGGAGCCGCCTCCTTTTTGCCGCAGCTTCATCCGTCTTAAGTAGAGTGAAAGTGTTGCGTTTTGGTTTCAAATTGTGGCCACAGTTGCAATTGTTGTTGCCCAGGCTTTAGTTTTTCTACTTTTTGTTTTGGTCTTTCCTTAAGTTTATTGCTGTTTTTGTTGCTATTTTGTAGCTATTTTAGCCGGCGGACACATATCCTTGTGTTCAATCAAACCAAAGCGCCGTCAACGCGACGGACTCGAAATTTTTTAGGATCCCGAATTGTTGTTGCTTTGGCTGTTCGGAGTCAAGTGTTTTGTAGCTTGAAGGTTGTTTTCCACAGCCTCCCACTGAAAAGGCAGGCCCACCCCCTAAGCCCCTAGCCCCTCTTCTCAACCCCCCACCACCCCATGGGGCACAAACATGCGGCAAACATTTTTAGCGCTTGTAGTTGCCATGAATTTTTATGCAAATGAAAAATGTTTCTTGCGATTTCCATTTTTTTGTTTTCAGCTGCTTTGTTTTTTGTATTTTTTTTTCTTCGTTGGCCATTACTGTGATGCAATTGCCGCGAGTAACAATAATCTTGATGTATGATTTTTTTTTCCTTCGTGGCTGTCTCTTATTATTAGAAAAAGAAAACAGAAAAAAACGTTAAAAATAAGGAGGAAATCTTGTGCGCCTATCGTGTTGTTGGCACATTTTCGCTTAGCGAAGGGGTGGGGGGATTTTCTGTTTGATCTCATAACCGCCAGCGATGCCACGGCAGCATCATAAACTTTTAACGCTGTCCATTTCGAAATAATCAATAATTTTTGGCTATCGATGGCAATTTATTACTATTTTTCCCCCTTCAACCAGCTTTGTTTTCGTTTTGTTTTTCTGGCCGCCGGGCAGCGACTAAAAAAAGAGAGGAGCAAATAAATTAACACTTCCTTAAACGATAAACACCGAAGTCCCCGGCGATATACTCGGTCGGCGGTGGAGAAATGCATTTGGAAATCAAAATGAAATGCCAATTGATAATGCCAGTGTCGCTGGTTATTTCTGCTTTGTAGCGGGGGCGTCACGAGTTTGCCTTTCGATTCGTTTATTAATTTTAATTGCAACGGGGTGGCAACGCCCGCCGGCTAATATCCAGCCCACGGATAAGCCGAACAAATTGCGAACAACACTCCCCCAAACGGAGGATATATCATATATACATAAATCCACCGAACCATCCAACGAAAGTGGGTTGCGCGTGCTCGAGGGGCAGTTGGATTTTCAGGGGAGCCAAGATTGCCACAAAAGCCTTGATCTTGGCCAGGTTTTCGATGTAGGCAGAGTGTTGTGGTGTGGGTTCATTAATATGCAACATCTTTTATGCCGCCAACTGTGGAACTGCAATTGCTACAAGGGGAAAAAGAAAATGCGAGGCACCTAAGAAAAATCTGGTGGAAATTTAAATGGATTTGTTTGCAGGCGAGATAAGTAAATAGACTTCATTCCATTAGTATTGTTTAGCAATTCAAGAAATTGTTTTTGATTTTGTTATTTGAAACCCTAACGGATAAGAATTATTAAGATAGTTATAGGAAAAATTTAGGTATCACACAAAAAAACGTTATTTCTTTTCTTAAAAAAATGGTAAAAAAAATATACAATTATTATAGTACTTAAATTTTACATGTGTTAGATAAGGAAGCCATTAATTTATACAACTGAACTGATGTCATATACAAACAGATACAAAGATAAAAATGTATTACAATGTTAAGTAATTGCTTAAGTACAAGCTTTATTTAATGAGCCTAATTAGTAACGAGCAGCTTGAATGATTTCATATTCAAATTTTAAGTATCTTGCTTAAAATGTGTTCTTAAATAAATATACCCTGTTAGATACTTGACTCCCCAAAATCATAGAAACCTTCATAAATATTTAAAGTGTTCAAACTTTTCCTCGGCACATTTTTATGACCTTTTGCCGATATTAAATTTCATTTTGAAGCCCTGACCTTCCCCATATAGCCTTCGAATATGTAACTGACTGCGCCCAGTGCCAAATGGCATTTCGAACTCTGCCCCTCGGGCCCACAAAACTTTTTTTGGTGACTCGCGGCATCTGGTGGCCGCAAGAGCCTCCATATACGTAGATATATTACTTGTGTTTGCCCAGCCATCTCTCATATTTGTTTATCTAGCCCCAATTTGGCTACTGCACTGGCAAATTTATGATCAGGGCGTTGCTGCCAAACAGCGCCGAATGGCAAATTGCGGAGTGGCGAAATCAAATGGGAAATGTATAATAAAGAGGCGAGTGTGCCAGATGATAAGCGCTGGCAAATAAATCGCCAAACCGCGCTTAGCTCGGGGCTCTCGGCTGAGATGGTGGAAGAAGGAAAAAGGGAGTGCATCCATGTAACTGGCGGACAACAAATGCTTTTGGGGCCCGGCGAGATGGAGATGGAGATTGAGTGCAGCTCCAAGTGACGCCACACACACAGAAAATGCGGCCCAAAGATTAATCGCTTAGCAAATTTGCAATGTGAAAGTGCGAGAGAGAGGGAAAGGCGGATTTCTGGCGACTGTTTTTCTACAAGACTTCCCAACCTCCCAACTGCCAACTGCAAACTCAAAATTGCAAGTTGCTAACTCAAAAGAAAAAAAAAGAAAACCCAACTGCAAGCTGCGTTGGATATTGCCGCTAATTGTCCTTGACGACGGAGCATCCCACATGGCATTTTATTTTGTCTTTGGCTGATGGCGCAAATTGCTGCCGGGTATTGGAGCACTGAGAAAAATATTTTAAAGTAATTTTAAAACAGTTGAATTCGTGCCAAAGCAGTAAAGAATATAGAGATTTAGCCCTCTTTCTAACTCCTTTACATTCGAAATTTAAATAACCTTTACCTAAACTAACCTTTGCCTAAACTTTACATTTTTTAAATATGAATGAAGTTGTATAAATAATGTCGACAACAACTAGTTTAGTTTTCCTTACTTTTCTACAAGACTAAATAAATACGAGGTATATAAACTATTTAATTTGATTTAGTCTAGTTTATACATATCTTGCAAAATCGAATTTCTGTATGACAATAAACCTAGTTCCCTCCATTTCAATGCAGGTGACATTATTTACGGTGTAATTTTACAGCCGCAGGCTGCAACGGAAAGTGAAAACTTGAAAAATTGATTATGCAACTGCCGCAAGGACGTTTGGCCAAGAGGCTTGCCTGTGTGCCTGTGCCTCTGCCTGCATCTCTTGGCCCGGCCAAAACGGAGGTCGTCACACACTTGGTCTGATTTTGCAGTCATCGCACCTCCATCCCCCTCTGTCTTATGTCATTGTCTCCGTCTCTGTCCCCCAATGTTTATTATTGCAATTTTGAGGCATGCCACTAGACACTTGCCTCGGGGGCGTTGCTTGTCGTTGCTTTTTTGCTACTTTTTTAGAGGTTAAGTTGCAAGTAGGAAGCGTTTGTGGAGGCGCATTTAATTTACGGGCACGATGCGGCACCAGCAGGTAAAAATAATAAAGCGACGCCAAGGTGTGCAGCGCTCTTCGCTTTGTTTTGATTTCTCTGGCTGATGGGAGCGCGTTTTAATTAAGTATACGCCGCGTGAACGATGCGACCGCCATATACGGTAATGCCAGCAGATGATGCTGCAATTACAGGGAGAAAAATGTTACCTGTATTGGTCATTAGTTTCATTACAAACTAAACAAACTTTAAACAATTTGCTGGTTAGATTTAAAAATAAAATTAAAATTTTTTGTAAGAAATTAAATATTCTTTGCATTTTTTCGCCGTAATTTTGTAAAAATACCTATCTTAGAAGAAAGACGAGAGTTTTTTCCATCTAATAACCTAAAATAAAGATCCAAATCCCTTGGAAGCAGATTTAAAAAAAATCTGTTAGTTTCTAAATTTTTCATAAGCGCAAAAAACTTTCAAAAATTAAAGTTTGAAGGTTTGAATGCCATCGACTGGGAATTTAATTTCAATCTCATCACGGTATAATTTTTCACATTTGGACAATTTTTACTTAGTTGTGAAAAAATTTTCTTTTTTTAAAGGAATTTTATAAATAGCTTAGTTTCTGTAATCAAGTAACTCCTTTTAAATATATAAAAAAGTAATTATTTTTTGAGACATGTGTACTTTTCATTTTTAAATTTTTCTCTGCGCCCAGCGCATTGACAGTCATCTCATGCATATTCCAGCAGACTTCGCATGACCTCCGGGCAGCGGAGAGGTCAAACTAAAAAGCCAAACTCAATTCAGGCGGTTTAATTACCCCGTCACTCGAACGTGGCCAAAATGCCAAGCGAGCCAAGGCAAGTCTCCCAGGTGGCCACCCAAAATGCCAGGCGAAAAGTCGAGTTCGTTGGAAAAAATGCGAGCAAGTTTAGGTGACCAAATGGGGCAGTCGTCCGTCCGGTGATTAGCCATATAAGCGGTCCAGTTGCACATGTTGTCTTGCTTTTATTTTCATCTACTTTACTTTTTTTCTGACCACACCATCATCTCTCCCCTTGACATTTTCCAGGTGACATTGACGATTGCATTGTGACGCCGACGGTTCAGGGGCAGTTCACGCCGCTTCCCGAGGCTCTGTGCGATGTGATCATGGACCTCACCGCCGAGGGCCAGTCGGCCACCATTGAGCATGTGCGCGGCAAGCTGGGCGCCCGCTTCCCCCACATGACCACGCCCGCCACCGAGGTCATCTACGACTCGCTCGCCCAGCTGATGCAGGAGCAGAAGATCTACCAGACCTCCAAGGGATACTTTATCTTCACGCCAGAGTGAGTAATAAAATAAATAGGATAAATTCATCTGAATAATAAATAGCAAATGACTAAATTAAAAATAAAAACAGTAAATATTTAAATAAATAACTAAATAAAAAATTAAAAAATAGGTAAATAAACGAATGAAGATCTAAATAAATAAAAAAGTTCCTAATTAAATAAATAAATATATTTATACATAAAACAAATAATACATAAAACAAATAATTAATTAAGTAATACATAAACAAATAAATAATTAAAAAATAGAAACAAAAAACATAATAAACAATAATAAATAAATATTGAAAAAAACAAGAATAAATCACGATATAGAGTCTAATTAAATCACCTATATAATATTAAATAAATAGTCAACCTATAAATATTTGTTTTTACAGCTTCAGATTAGGTCCTCCTATTTTTAATACAATAAATACAAGATTAACTGACTCTCTAATCTTCTCCAGGCGCCGACGCAGTCGATCGAGGCCGCGCAGCAATCACCACCAGCTGAACGGGAGCCTGGCTTACAGTCACCTGGCGGAGGAGGAGCAGCAGCACGGCGACGATGTGGTTCCCCAGGAGGCGCGCACCATGCTGATGTCCAATTCCGAGGCTTTGCACTCGCTGTACGGCGAAATCTCAACGGAGCGGGACGGCGACCTCACCCACCAGTGCATCCAAACGAATCTGGCGGATGTGATCTGCGGCGGTGAGTTCTCAATCATCATCTCAGTAGAATCAATCAATATAATGTGCGATCGATCAACAGGCAATCCCAATGACAAGATCATCTATCCAAGGGCGGCGAAGCGACGCAGTGCCTCGTTTCCGACGCCGCGCAGCTTGGAACGCCGGCACAGTTTGCGGCTCTTTGGCTCGTCGAAGCGCCTGCAACGCTGCGCCTCCACGCGAAGTCTGTCCAAGACCTACGCCCAAACGCTCAATACCACGGACAGCAGCAGCTCGGAATACCAAAGCACAGATTCGTCATCACCCAGTGAGTTTATATCTTCAATATTTAAAAAAATTTTTTTAATTAGGTGTTTTTTCCCCATTTTAGAAAAAGGATCTTTGCTCTCACGCCTGTTCCGACGCAGCGGTCGAGCCAAGCAGCGACAAATTGAGACCTACTCGGCACAATTCCCTCCAGCCGAGTGGTTCAACACCAGAGCCGTTCACCTCCACAGCGTGGGCACACAAACAGCCGAGCACGTAAGCAGTTAGCCTAAACTAGAATTCATATTTAAAAAAAAATAATAATATCAAAATAGTATCATAACATTACACAGGATAACATTATTAGGATATAGATAGATATATAGATACAGTCTAATTAGCATTTTAAACCCTTTATTTTGATCTCTGATTTCTTTAATAGTTCCATTTGAATTATTAAAAAGTGTGAATGGTTATAAAAGTAGTAGCTTTATGTACAAAAGAAAAAGTTTTAAGCAATATTATATTGTATTTTAAAAAAAAATAATTTTTAGTTTAGTTTTAAAGTCGGTTCTTAAAAATCTATAAATTAGAAGGAAAGATTCCGGTACAAAAATAGTTCCTTGCAATTTTTTATAAAGCTCTACTCTGCCACTAATCAAGAAAAAATAAAGAAATCGATTTACTGAACGAAGATAGATTTCTAGCCATTTATGGTCTTTTAAAATTTTGTAAATTACATTGTGAAGCCTAAACTTGTGTTCTTTTGGGTAGAAAACAATTCACACACAGTCTTTGAAATAGTTATCTTTAACTTATTGATATAAAGATGTATTAAGCTCTCTCTTAGCTCTCTCTAATTCTAAAAACAAGCCATGGATTACAAATTATTTATGTACAATACTGTAATCTTTAACTTAATGATCACAAATATATTTCTAACTCAATTCTTTTCCTTAACTCTTCCCACAGGACATGCCCGTGGCGCACACGCTGTCCAACTCGACGTTCTACGACGGCTCGGAGCTGAGCCAGCGCTCCTCGACGCTGCCCCGTCGCCATCGACGCCACATGTCCAGCGAGTCGACGTTTCTGATTTCCTCCAGGGACTGCTCGCCCATCCGCCGCCGATCGCCGGTGTACTGCAGCAGTTCGCTACCTCGTTCCACGCAGTCGATACCCGCCACGACGGCCAAGTCCCGCCTGAGTCATCCGGGTCATGGCGGATCGGTGACGCCAACGCCGCCGAAGACAGCACAGAAGTCGGTAATTGGGAAGCACATCTTCGAAAGCTCGCCATCGCGATCCGCCACGCTGAAGGCGACGGCGGCCAAGCGGCACCCGGAAGGACTGATCATCAACGGGTGTCATCAGGACAACAAGGCCACGTACCGGAGTCTGCAGAGCAGCGGTCCCTCGAGCCTGGAGTCCTGCAGGACCGCCTCGATGCTGGCCAGTGGTCCGTCGAGCATCGACAGCGGCAAGGTGTCCTTTAGCCAAAAGACCAGCGGCCACTCTAGTCTGGACTCGCAATGCTCCACCAACACGGCAGTGATAGCGCCCTCCACCAGTGGGAGTAATGGCACAGGGAGTTCTCGTTCGATTCTCCTGCTAAATGGTTCGCCACGCGGAACACCACGTCATCAGGCGATGAGGGCACGCGTAGCCGAGGCCCAGGCGCAGCGGCAGAGGGCCAGCACGCCCAGTCGAATTCTAGAGGAGATGATCTATCCGGCGGGAAGCAATGGAGTGCCCACCTCCAGTAGCAACAACTCGATTACCCTGCAGGTGACCACCTCGAATGGCAATCAGAGCATACCGAGCACCAAGATCTTTGTGCAAAACTCACCGGTTAGGAGTGTTATAACCCTGGAGAATGGCAAGATGCTGGAGAATTCGAATGTGTTTATCATCAACAATGAGACAATGACGAATGAGAAGGGCGAGGTGATCAAGAAGACCCTGTCCAAGCAGACTTCTGCAGCAGCTCCTCCTTCGATGGCCACGTCGACGCCGGTTAAGCCGTCGGAAACGGAAACGGTTACCGAGCAGCCACTCAGCGAAACGGAGGCCAATTCCGAGACCTGCGACTCCATATCCTTCATCAGTGAGAGTTCCCCGGAGAACACATGTACCGTGGAGGCCGATCATCCGATTTACGATGGTGGGAAGTATGCCAAGAACACAAATAACGATGCCACGATGAACAACAGCCGGAAGCTGTGCCTCCAGTTGGCCAACAACGGGATTGCCTACAAGAACAACGTGCTGAAGAATGAATCCCAGCCGAATTCACCGAGTGCCGAGGCTCCGCTCAAGCTGGCGGCGCTGGCCAAGCAGGATTTTGAGATAGCCGGCTCGGTGGGCAACCTGCATTTCTACGAGAAGAGCTCCAAGGATGTGGGTGCCTCGCAGAGCAACAACATGATGATGAACAGCAGCACGGACCTCAAGAATCTGTGCTATGAGTCCGTCTGCCAGCTGCAAAAGTGCTCCATGAACGGCGACGAACTGGCGCTGGCCCATTTGCTGCACAAGTCCAGCAATCCGCTGGGCAGTGAGCCCAATTTGGCTTTAAAAGATCTGGCCAATGATAAATCGATCGATAAGGAGGCCATCGACAGGCGACTCAGCTTGACCAAGGAATCGCTGGAGCAGGGAATGGGCAATGTGCTGGCCAATGGCAACGAGGAGCTGTATAACTTTCCCAGTCTCACCGACCTGTCCTTCAACTTTACCTCCCTGGCGGCAAGAAAGATACTGCAGGGTGTGAGCCTCAACAGCATCGATACCCTGGTGGAACTCAATATGGCAGCGGCGGCGGCGGCGGAGAAGCAGCAGAAGAAGCAGCAGAACAACCAGCCAACCCCGGCAGCTCCAACAGCCTCCGTTTGCACCGACTTTGGCATGGTCTAGGAATAACCTCCTCCCCAACAGAGATCATCGCTGTGGGTTAACCGGAGGAAGCCCCTTAGCGCCTCTTAGTTTAATCAAACGATAAAAAAAATCATAGGGTCCTAGGATAGAAGTTATCTACTCCCCCCCGCATTTGGCAAGCAATCTTGTGTAATTTATTACAATTTGATTTCCCCATTCGATAGCAGCAATTTGTATGTATTTTCTTTAGGGTTTTCATCGGAAGCAAACTTTTATTTACAGTGCCAAAATACGTTTACGATTAATTTTAATGCTTATTATTTCATACATATATGCCAGTTCGTATTTCGCTTTCACACCACAGAGACACCGCCAAGCGGCTTCTGTTTAAGCAAACCGATTTATGTAAAAATCCACAACAAAATACTATGTGTTATCCTTATACTTTTGTGTACATTATTCAAAATAATTGTTTATACTAACACACAACGCCCAAAATGCAATCCTATCTATACAGACACGAACCGTAACAGAGAACAGAGATGTACTACGAACATAGAATTTAGCACTTAATCGGAAATACAATAATTTTGTACAAGGCCTTAATTAGTAAAGTCAGCAATAATACAAAATAAGTTGAATCACTAATAAAAACGATATATAAACGAATGAAGATAATGTGTTTGTTTTTGGGGGATTAAAGTCCCAACGAAATCCCAGCAAAAAGTAAAAACGCGATCAACTGATCATTGGTATTATTTCCTTTCATTTATTGAAATTTTTAAGTCTTTTGCTTTTTCATATACATATTGTTTTGTTTTCATATACTTCGTGTTTTGTTATACTCGTATTTAATATTTTAGGTTTCGGGTAGTTTTGGCTCTATAAATATGAATAATTATAGCTAAATGCTTTTAAATTAATATTCAGGGTATATACACACAGACACGCGGTATACACGAACTTCATTTTTTAGTTACACAAACATAATGTAGGGTAAAGAAAATATATAATATACATAGCGCGCACTTAACGGGGAGTAAGTATATGCTAATGGAACTACATTCATAAATCGCTTTTGTAATTCGTAAAGGGCTAGATCAAAAAAAGGGGGGGGGATGGACATAGAAGTTGCCCCGGGGTAAATTGGTGTTTTCAAGAAAGATTAGAATTATACAATTAATACATATGCATATTTAGAGAATAGTTATCATAGATCGCGGGTGTATTATATTATGCTGATGTATATACAATTAGTTTTAGAAACTTATTTTTAGTGTGTAATGTGTAGATAGTGTGAAACGGACAAAAGTTTAATTTATATACATTAATATTAGCAGAGAACGAAGGAACATTTAAGAATTCACTATATACTCGTAAGCTGTGTGTGTGTGTGGGTTAGGTGTTGAAGAAAATGGCGTTCGGTTCGTTTCGATTCGGATTATACAGATATTCCATTCTATATGCTATATAGATTTAATAATTATCGCTTTGCTCAGTAACTAAAATGTACAATAGATGACTTAGACCTCCGTCGACCGTCCGTTCTCATCCGTGCGCGAAGCCTTCCGCTCGCGTCCCGGTATTCGGCCGGTAAGTGGCTGCGCCTGCGCCTGAGCTTGAGCTTGAGCTTGAGCTTGGGCTTGCATTTGTGCCTGCTGCTGGAGCATTTGTTGCTGCTGCATAATGTAAGCGGCCTGCGATTGCTGCACAAAGTTGGCATGGGTATAGGCCTGCATTCCCGGCGCGGCATACACATTGCTAGGCGTGGCTATGGCCGCCGTGGGCGGCATATTAAATCGCATCTTGGCCGCCGCCGCTGCATTGGCTGCAGCAGCAATGGCAGCTGCATTTTCCCTCGAGGCGCTGGAGGTGGTGGTGGACTGGAACGAAATGCTCATGCCGCTGTCCAAAGAGCCAACGCTGCCTCGTCGCTGAGGTTTCTCATTGCCAACTGGAAGAGGAGACGATTTGGAGTCAGTAAGGTCCAGTAAATACTAGTTTTTAACAGATTAAACATGCTTCTTGTATTTAACAAATTAAGAGATCACAGTGCTACACTTAAAATCAATTTATTCAGCAAACTCACATTGCTCGTGCATGTCGAGAAGGCTGTTGCTGAGCGCACTGCGCTTCAGCTGTTGCGAGGAGTCAGCGGAATTCGGAGCCTGCTCGCCGGCTGCCTGGGATCCCGGCTGATAGGGACACGGACAGACCTCCACATCGGCGACGCCACTGTCACGATTCTCCGCATTGCCCGGGGCACGATTGCGCGCCGACTTCTGACGCTCCAGCTCGGCCTCAATGCGCAGCGACTCCATCTCGTCCATCTCGCTAATGGACTCCTTGAGATCCTCGGCAAACTTGCAGCGATCGTGTTCGTTGCGGGCATTGAAGGTGATCAGGATCTTGCCGTCGACCTTCTGGGAGAGCTGAATGCAGAACGGATAGTTGGGCATGTCCAGCAGGGTGACAACGGTGCCGCACAGCGGGAAGCTGTTGCGGAACGTGTACGTCACGGAGGTCTTCTTTTTGCTAAAGATTTTGGTGATGACCAGCAGATCGTTGAACAGGAAGACCTCACGTTGATGGACACCAGGTCGTTCCTTCTTGTTCACGTCGGGAATCTCGTACAGACGGCAATAGCAGACGAGGCGGCGATGGGGCAGCGCCAAATTGGGCTTCTTGCCGACAATGGTGGCCTGGACCTTCATCACCTGGGTGACATGGTCGCTGCCCGGTTTGAATTCGTCGGACTTGACGCGATCGTAAATGCCCATCAGCATGTCCTTGTCGATGTCATGACAGTCGTCGATGCCACGCAAGTTCTTGATAAAGTCCTCGACGCGCATGCGACGCTCTGGCTTGAGATTGGGCGTGTGCAGATCCGTGTTCAGCATGATAATGGCAAAGGCCAAAACGAAGATCTGTAAAATCAAGGAAAAATAAATATTAGAGGGGAACTTTAGCTATAATAAACTAATAGACATACCGTATCAGATGATCTCAGTCGCCCCACAATGTCCGCATTGCATTCACAGTAGCGCTGCGAGAAGATCTCCATCAGGCGCTCAATCTTTTGTGCCTCGCCAGGCATGCGGAAGTAGGCCTGGAACTTTCGCAGAGCCACATCCACCTGGCGGCCGGACAAGTCTAATTCCATGGCAAAGCAACTCAGCACGGCCATGTTGAACTGGTTCTGCAGATTGCCCAGATACTCGCCGATCATCTGGCGCGACAAACCCTTCCGCGTGATGAGGAAACGGGCCACGCCCTGCGGTGTATTCTCCAGGAATCCTCGCCTGATCAGATACGTGATGCCTTTCTCCGGCTTTTTGTTGAACAGATTAAGGCCAACGCGATACTGCCTCTTGCGTATCGTCTCCGACATCTTGTAGTTCTGTGCCACTCCAGCGGCAGCGGCGGCAGCCTGCAATTGCTGCTGTTCGTGCTGCTGCTGCTCGTGCTGCTCGTACTGAGCGGCACTGGTGTGCGAGGAGATGGCATGGTCATCGGCGGGCGGTAATCCTCCAGCAGCTGTGGCTGCTGCCACGGCAGCCTGCATTTGTGCGGCATAAACACCGGCTCCTCCGGCGACTCCTCCCGAAACCACACCCGCTGAATCCGCCGAGTGCGTGGAGAACTGCTGCGAGCTATTCAAAGCTGTTCCCCTTTTCCAGGTGTGCGGTGAGTTGCTGCGATCCGAGCCCAAATCGCTGTTGAGGTTGCGTTCCGCCGAGGTGACACTCGAATCGGATCCCGAGCTCTGCACGGAGGTCAGGCTGCCGTTCTCGGCCGTCTTACAAAGGCCATTGGTTCGCAGCAACGAGGGAGGCGGCGGCGTTTGGCGTTGCAGCAGGAGCAACTGCGTCTGCTGTTGCGCCGTTATGGAGCTGGTGCGTTTGGGCACCTCGGGCGGCACCTTCTTGGTGCTGCCGCCGCCGGCGCTGCCTCCGCTGCCGCTGCCCGTGCTGCCGCTGCAACTGGGCGTGGGCGTGGTGCTGCCGCCCTTGGGCCGCATATATATCTGGGCCGCCGAATAGTAGGGCGTGTGCGGGGAGTGGCCGCTGGTGTTCACCCACGAGGCATTCAGCGAGGTGTCCGCCGAGCTGGCGTAGCTCAGATCGTGCGGCGATCCGTGGTAGCTGGTGTAGTAGGCAGCCGCCGTGGGCAGCGCCTGGGCATTGTAGTAATGCGGCTCGGCCGCGTGCAAAAGATTCACATGCGGATGGGAGGCCAGAGCGGAGGTGCTGACTGTCGAGCTGGAAATGGAGGCGGGGGAGGCTCCTGTAAAAGAGGAAAAGGTTAGTAAAATTATTAAGGAATAAAAAAATTGCACCCTCTCCTGAATGTTTAAAAAAACATTTTTTATTTAATCATTATTGCCTTGATAAGACCAACAACTTGTCTTGATTAGAGATCAAAGACCCCTCTTAACAGCCTAACATATCTAGTATTATTTTGATAAAACAAAGTTAAGACGCAAATTTGGTTTATGCCTGGTAAATTTGAACATTAAGAAAGAATGGTCTAAATAAAAAAAATGTTATAAAATGATTAAATATTAAATATAATTATTATATTTAATTTCACATCGTTTTGTTTGCACCTCAATATTTATTTAGGAACTTGTTTACTTTTAAATTTCAAATTAACCTTGTGACTTCCTTGAGATCATTAAACTCTTATTTGCTTTAAAAAGTCACCAAAAGGGTCACCCCAAGCAGATAAAGTAAGCCAATAACATAAAGTTAATTCGTGGAATTTTTAAGTACTTTGAGGTCAAACACTTTAAGAAGAACAAGAGAGAACGCTATAGTCGGGTTGGTGTCCCGACTATCTAATACCCGTCACTCAGCTAAAGGGAGTGCGAGGGAGATAGATATATAAATTTTGAATGCGTATAACTTTTTAATGAATGGTCCGATTTGAAAAATGTCTTCTACATTTCGATAGGTATAAATATACACAACAAAATTGCATTTATACTTATCGGAAATCTTTAAGGATGTGGGCGCAGGACCCATTTTAAAATCGTT